TAAAAAAAATCTGGAATTAGGGCTAAAAAAACTATATTTTTTTCTTTTAAATTTTAAAAGTGGAATTAACTAGACCGAAAATCTTGAATGAGGGCTCTTATGACTGCAGACCTAAACGTGACCATGACGACCAATGAAAAAAATGGTGACTGATGTCAGATTAAAACTAGCATTAACACGTACAAATGGTTAGAATAACAAGTTTTTCAAAAAGTGAACGAATCTCATCTACGTCATCAAATTTAGGTCATTTAACGTAATTTCCTCAAAAAATTAATAACAAGTTCAAATTGTTCGTTTCAACCCAAATTTATTTTAAGTGAATTTCAAAGTCATAAAATTTTCATTTATTCAAACCCGACCAATCGTATAAGTTAGATTGAGTTTGGTCGCACCTCCAATATCCGTCTCTAAAGCTCGCTACTTATACTTGACAGTGATAAAAATGGCAGAAACTCTATGGTGTCTGTGATGAGTTGTTATACCCTAGAAAGGGATTCTGCAATAGTTGTTATACTTTTACACACCAATATGGTTACTGAAAACAGATTCAAGTTTACAAAATCTCTAGGTGAAGTTGATGGATTTTCCATTTTCAACTACATTCCTTGTGTAACATCCGGGATGGTGGCATTGTGAGTTTGTAACCCCTCTCCTCTCTGCGGGGTGCATAGCTTAGGCTTTCTCTCCTCCACCCATTTAAGGATGGGTTCTGTAACGTTAGTTGCAGTGTTGAGTGACCCTCGACTCCCCCGATTATAAAGATCCAACTGGCAAAGCCACACATCATCAATTCCAAGTCATCAAGAAAAAAAAAACTACATTTCTTGTGGGAATTCTCCCAAACCAAACACGTTGTCGAAGTTTAAGCCTTGCCTAATCCCTAAATATCAAAGATGATCTAAACGAGTGTCTGCTCTCCTATGAACCGGAAAGAGAACGCGTCTACAACTGAAAAACCTGAATACCATGTCGAAGTTTAAGCCCTCCCTAGGAGAAGCATCATATACATTCAACGCCCGTTAAACAGACATAACCAATGGGTTACGCTCCTATTTGATCAAGCTCACTCGAATATTTTCAACACGATTTCTAGAGAACTCGACCCAAATGCCACAGGAACACTTTCTAAAGGGGCCATTTAATCACAGCATTTTTTCATAATGTTCTCAGAATCAGATGTTCAAGGAAACTTCCAACACAGAAGCAAGAAAATTCACAGCCATATTACCTAATCAACCTTCAACTGGGTAGCAATCTTCTAAATTTTATCTCCAATAACTAATTAAAGTCATGTATTTCAGAGATGTTTCTACCAAAGAAAAATGGAGCATCTACAGTTGATCAGAGGCTCGATATCTCGGTTTTTGGTCTTTGTTGGAATTTACAAGGATTATTGTGCATAAAAAGATCTGATCTGAAGCAGATATCAAATGTACATATCATATGAAGTGTGAACTAAGAACAACATGCTAAAGAGATGCTGGGTAGTAGCTAAAGCTAATTCATAATCTTAGGAACAATCATCTGCGGAAGTAAATGAGAAGATGTGTAAGTGCATCAGTAAGATGATTAGCTTACAACACGATACCTCTCAAATCGTTTTAGTCTCTATCCTTCACCAAATTGCCAATCATGTTTACCAAAGATGGAGTTCCCTTTGCCATGATTTCGAGCCTAGAGGCATTCGATGCATGAGAGAATAAGGAAAGCCCAAAGAGTAACAGCTCAGGAAGGAACAGTCGCGAGGACAAGAATCCGTGCCAATAGCGAGGTTCAAGATCAAAAAATGCATCAAAAAACCTTCTTGTACCCTTTAGATCAAGCTTCAACAGAATATCCATACCGAAACAGAAAAACTCCCTCTGCCTTCTCCTTTCTATGGGCCATAGATCTTTCCAAACTTCAGACGATATCTCATCTCCCCTGAAACATCCGTCTGAACCGAGGTACCGAACTATAGCACTAGCGACAATAGGTGCTGCTGCTAGAGTTCTTGCTACCATGTATCCGGTTGAAGGGTGCACCATTCCTGCTGTTCCACCAATTCCAACAACTCTTTGAGGAAGAACAGGCAGCGGTCCACCCATTGGAATTACACAATGCTCATCCTCTTCAATGCTCTTCACTTTTATACCCAAGTGCTTCAATCTTGCCTCCATTCTTTCCTGGATATCGCTCATTTGTAATCCAGGTCGAGCTACCAAAGAAGTTTCTTCAAGAAATATCCGATTCGATGAAAAGGGCATTGCATAGAGAAACGTGGGGATTTTGTCATTTCTCTCCTTCAAAATCTTATTATTGTTCAGATGTGAATCCCTCCAGTCCATAAATACCATCTTGTCGACATCGAATGGATGTTCCTCCACCTCTGCTAAAATCCCATAAGCTACTTGGTAGCCTGGATTATATGGCTTATCATATTGGACAAGGCATCGAGAGAAGCCGGTGGCATCAAGAACAACCGCAGCTTGAATGGTCACACCATCATTGCAAATTAACAAAGATTTGAACTCCTCATGTATAACTTTAATAACTTTAGCTTCATGGAACTTAACACCATTGGAAATGCACTTTTGCAACATTTTTGACTTGAGCTGCTTCCTATTAACCCTCCCGTAAGGTCGAGCGAGATCTTTCGTTGATTGCTCATTGGTGAACACAACAGCACCGGACCAAGTCGTGTCGAGGCAATCTAGCAAATCCATGGCCTCGAATTCGTCCACCCAAACTCCATAATTATTGGGCCAAATCAACTTGGGAGAAGGGTCAATTGCACAAACTGAAAGCCCTGCCTCTGAAACCTGCTGTGCAACAGCAAGCCCTGCTGGGCCACCTCCCACAACCGCAAGATCGACGACGAGGCCTTTCGACGGATCATACATGGGAAGCTCAAACTCAAGATTCTCCTTCTTGGTTTCAGGAACAAGCTCCAGAAGAGCACTACTTCTCACATTAACACAACCACCACTCCTCCATTTCAAACGAGCCTTCCTATGGCCAAATCCAAATTCCTGAGTTTGAAACTTCGAACTCCTCACACCACTCACTTTTTCAGAAATCCCATGCAGTGGTTGCAGAAACCCATACTTGTTATTGATTTTAAGCAAAGTATCCATGGATTTACAAGATGAACCAACAGAAAACTCCCAAAATCAAAGCAAGACAAGCAGAATTTCAGCAAGTCACAAAAGTCAAAAGGGATTCTGAAATCTCACATAAAACTAAACAGTAGAACAACAGACGAGGAATTGGAAATGGGGTTCTCAAAAACTTCAAGAAATTCCCAAAAACTCGACAAGAATCGCGATAACTTCAATGGAAATCAGAGCCCAACCTGAGGAGACGAGGGGGTTCCATCTGATTCCAGTGGATTGGAGAAATGTGGAGCGCGTATGGCCAGTCCCAATGACGAACCGACGTTGCCGTCCACTCTCCAAGAGTTGGAAATTATGGGAATTGGAGAAGATTGGGAGTTTCGCAGTGTCCACAGTTCGGCCATGGCCCCACGTGCTCCTCAATTAATGGTGGTGAAAGCGACCTGAGAGTGAATATCGCTCGTTCAATTTGCTTTCTTCGTCACTGCTTAAGAAGGTTCACTTTTCTGGATTTAGTTTCAACCAATTTGGTTTTGAAATCTTAACTAAATTATTCGAAACCCACTTTTAGTAGAGGGATAATTAAACTACGTTCCCCCTCTGTTCTTAGTTCATTTTAGTTTCATGCTAAAATTTTGATTCTCTCGTCACCAAGCAAATTAATGAAATCAATAATATATTTTTTCAGTACAACGAGTGGGAACTGATAATCAAACTCGACCTCTTGATTAGAAACATATGTCGAATTAAGTTCATATTAATTGGAATGATATTTAAAACCAAACGTGGAATAATTTGCATAAAACTATTTTTTGTATGCAAATTAATAGTAAGAACTAAAACAAATTAAACCAAAATAATTACTAAAGAAAATTATTCATTTTTAACATTAAATACGAATGAATGAAATAATGTTGTATTGCATTAATTGAATTCTTCCTATATTAAGTCTTGAGAAGAGAATTCTAAAGTCTAGTAAATAAATTCCTACAAATCAAATAATAACCCTCCATCAACTATTCAATGAATCACGTTTATGTGGAAATTCAGAGAGTCCAAGATCTACCGGAGCTGACTAGCACCTCAATGGAGCGAGTTATACAAGATGACCTGCATGCAAATAATAAGTACTCTGACGTTCAAGTCATTCAAATGTTTGAATTCCTAGGTTAGTCCCCAACATAATTGCTTACCTAATTGAAGGGAGTGGTGATGTATTTTTAGGGGTTAGGAGGGAATCTTTGTGTTACGCCGGCGGTTAACTTGTTACGAAGATTGTTGAACAACTTCTAACTGTCTTTCAAGGCTGTCAGATTCCCAGCTCGAGCTGGACGAGCTTAGGTACATTTTGCCTTTTCCTAGGACTTCAAGTGTCTTCCACCTAGCTTTAATGAGAGTTATTAGCCGACAGAAGTCAAGACGTCGAGTGGACAGAAAATGATGCACTTGAGTGCTTTGTCTTTCCACATTTAGACAATCTACATCACTGATCGAGGGTGACATGGACGACTGGGATCAATCCATCTCCCTTTATATAAACCTGAAACTCTAACTCTCAAAATTCATGTTTTCTGAATCATTTTACTCTCAAACCAAGAAACTCTAACTTTCTGAATTATTTTACTCTCAAACAAAGGTTGGTGGCTCGCTTACCATTTGTTTGTAATCTATTGTAGTTCTTAGTTATGTATAGAAGGAGTATGAGGAGCTTGGGACGGAGTCATAAGTCGAGCGAGAGTAGCTTGGGGGAAAATAACAAGTCGCACGAGAACAATGGTTCGCCCAATAGGAATAAATCCTCTAATAGTAGGTTGTCCTCTATCGATAAGCTGTCCACTAATAGTTCCTCTGAGGACAACTTAGAGACATAGACTATGGAAATTCAAGTCTGCGAAGACCGACCTTGCACCTCAGAACGAGACTATAACAATCAGTCCGAGCTCGCCGATGAGTTTCTAGCCTTTACATAGAGATGAGGTTCCCAATCAAAAGCGATATCATAGAATATCCACTTGAAAGACACGTAACCTTCTACCTCAACATGTTTGAGTTCAAGGTCCAACTTCCCCTCCACCCCAAGATTTTTTGGTAGAGGTGAATCTATCACCAACTCAAATAGCTCCCAATAATTGAGGGATCTTGCTTGGTTGTTGGATGTTGTGGTGGGGGTCGATGTAGTATAGATGACTCAAAGTATTTGAATCTCGACCAATTTTAGTCAATTTATACTATAAAGACCCTACCTAAATACCTAGGTAGATTTTATCTACCTGCTAAGCGAGGTGTGGGAAGCTAGTCAAGGGCCCCTCCCCATTAAGGATTGAAAGAGGGACAAATGAGTTTGATGTATACGGTGACTGGCTAGCACGAGATTCTGATGGCGAGCTGAGTTATCAAGTCCCCACAGCTTCAGTAACTTAGATAATGTCTCTCTCTTGAGCTTGTTTTTCCTGTGTTTAGCACTAATTGAAAATTTTATTTTGTAGTTCTTCCCAAACCAGTGCTACAAAGGAACAAACTCACCCAATGATGCTCCTGATGAGGGGGCTCGCAAGAAGACCCCTGTGTGCGAAGTGGCGTAAGCCGAGGAAGGAGTATCTTAGTGAGATATCAAGGCGAGCCCTATCCAAACAGTGCATGCCTCTCCCTAAAAGAAGAAGAAGAAAAAACCTAAAGGAGCTCTGAGCAAGCCGAGCAAAAAGCCACCACCCATGCTGCACACCTCGACAATCTTTCAGCAGTCTAGATGATTGGGGAAGCTCTAGACTTTCAATTCCCCTTCCGAAGTTAGCCAACTCTATAAAAAATTAAATCACTGACGCGTTGGGTGGTGTGGGTGAGCTCTGACCGATCTCTTGCTCGTTTTGAGCGATTATCTAACTCGTGGTCAACCATACTAGCTACTCAAGTAACTGTTCAGTTGAATAACTTCTTCTTGTTTAACTCGATACTAATCTAGCTCTTTCCTATAGGCTCATGCTCTTCCCTACAAGACGTTAGCCTTGGTAGCGGCTGAGCTACTTGGGCGCTAGTAGTGGGTCAAGCAGAAGAGAGCCAACTTTGCCAAGGCCATCAAGGAGATCGAGCACGCTTGAGCTGAGCTCAAGGACGCAAGGTCCAAACTACTGGAGGTGGTGCACAAAATTGGCGACCTTGAAATCAACTTAGAGACTTTGAGGAAAGAGGTAAAAAGTGGCCAAGATATGATTCGGAGGGCACAGACGCAAATTAATAACTCCAACGCCGAGTTAACAGACCTAAGGCTTGAAGTGACCAACCTCAAGAAGGCAAAGGCAAAAATGACCGAAAAACCTAAAGAGCAAGGCATACTTGGATACAACCTTCTAGAAGCTTCCCTCTTTCATAAACTTCAACAAGAGCTTGCAGACGACAGCTTCAAGTCCGCTCTCGTCTACTTGGAGAAGTACTTCTACATCAAAGGATGGACATGTTAGAAGATAGAATTGAGGCCTCTAAGGAGGCCATCCAGACGTACTTGAAGAAGCTAGATGAGCTTCCTTTTGTCGACCTGACTTAAGACGATCCAGTGGCTAAGGCTGCAAGGTTCGAGCTTTTTGAGGTCAAAGCTCCAAAGACCGATGCTAACAAGAACGCCGCCTTCTGATCTCGTGCTTTACCTTTCAAGTTTTTCTTCCTGAAGTTAAAGCACATATTTCCAACTAAAAGATAATGAGTCCAAATCCCCACGGTCATATGTTTTACTAAAACAAAAATCAAAATTGAAAGGTTATATATATAAGATCTCAAACTAAAAAGTTTTGCCCTTCTCTATGAAATTTTTTGACTCCACCCTTAGACTAATTAACTCCCGATAACCATTCAGCCATGTATATATATTTTTTAGTGCAACAAATGTAGGGTATGAAAATCTGAATCTGAACCTTAAGAAAGTGAATTTCTTTTATCGTTGAGGTAAATTCATGTTAATCGATTTGTATATATATTATGTTACGGAGGAAAAACCTTTTCTTTGTACGACAAAGTGGAGGTATGAGAATTTGGACCTCAAATCTTTAAAAAAAGAATAGATATAATTTGCTATTAAACTATGCTTATTTTAGCTCTATGTTACTATTCTGCCGTGTTTTTATTTTATTTTATCTTTTATTTTTATGAAATTAAAATATGTTGTGTATATATGTGTGTGTATATATTATAGTACAACAACTGGGTGGGGAATCGAATTCAGAACCTCTTGGTTTAAGATATACACTAATTATCTCTAAACTATGCTTACTTTAGCTGTTGTATTTTAATAAAAGTTAGTTGTAAGCCGTTATTTAATTAATTCTCTAAACTTGGATTATCATTTAATTTTTTTTAAGCACAACATATGAGTAAAGATTCGAATTTAGTCGAGTACTAATTATCGTTAGTTCAACTTTGACGATTTTATTTTAGGTTCTACAACTTGGATGTGATAAACCATTCCAAACAAAACTGCATTAACTAGTATTAATTTTTTGTATATATAAACAAATTTAATACCAAGTTTAGATTAAATGTATCATTTTAGTCTCTAATTTTTCAAAAGTTGTAATTGTGCCTCCAACTTTTGTGGAAAAAAAAAAGAAAAAATACCGCTGAAATAAAATAACAAGAAAGTGATGTTGAATCTATCTCATCCATATCCAATTTTGATGCATTATTGGTTTTATCCTAATTTTGATTTCTTTTTTCGTATCACTAGAGGTTGAATAATTAGAGGGGAATCTCCATATAGGGTAGTTTTATCTTATCATACTCCCACTTTTATGAAATTTAACTTTCCCAATTTATGGTTGACAGATTTTATGGACTTCTTCTTCCTTGACAAGTGTTTGTCAAACAATTTCGATAAAAAGAAAAAAAAGAAGGCGTTAAGAAACCTTCCTGGTTCAATTCTAGATGCTCTAATATCATTTTTCAAACCTATTCCTCACTAATTGAGCGCCCTTGTGTCGAAGATGCACGGGACTAAGCAATCAAAAGTGAGATTGTCAGCTTGAGTAATGCAGAAATTGGTGAGAATCCAAAATGCCCAGGAAACCTAGGGGTTCCTCTGCCAGGAATATGTTTACATTTTTTTAATACTTACAAGTATTTCCACACGTGTCTTACGTATGGTATCTTAATTTTATTTTATCATATATTAATAATTTAAATTTTATAAAAGTTGAGCATATATCATCAAATACTATAATCATTTGCTAACATGAACTCAAATGAACTTAACTTAACAGTAATTGACATATAAAATAATAATAATTTAAAAAGTTATTGAAAGACATTAAAGGATAAATAAATGAATAAACATTTAAAAAAATACAATGGGGGATGTGTGAGTTTGTAATATGATTTAGCACTTCTTTTTTTTTTAATTAAGAACTGCATTTAAAGAAAAATCTTCTTTTTTTAATAATATTT